TGGCGGAGGTCGTTGTTGTTGAGGATCAGGAAGGAGGAAGAAGAATGAAAGGGAGAGAGAGAGGTAACCAGAACGAGAATGGAAGGGGATGAGGAATCAGGTTTTTTTGTACGAAGAGAGAAAAGGGATGTTTTCCATTGTAATCGGGGTTTTTTGAGCGGAAAATTTTCAGGAGAGGAATCTGATGTGGCACCCCAACTTTCCTTCACTTTCCTTTTAAGTTTTTGCAAACCAAACATCTAATTGTGGGGGAAAACAATGCGTCAGTTTTCTGATGGGTCACTTTCTGCCCCTTTCTGTATTTTTTTTTACCAAACAAACAGGCCCTAAGAAGAATAACGGTCGCTTGTTCACCGTATGAATATGAATGAATGTTCATGTGTCAATTGGTTGAATAAATTCTTCTACTAGCTCACACTATTGCACCAGAAAATACCACGAAAAAATATGATGTTAAACATGCTGATGCATATACAACCCCCGAGTGGCCTAGGCGGCTGGGATGTATCTATGTGAACCCGGAGTGCATGGGTTTGATTCCTGAGCCCATATCTAATGGTGTTGTGTTGGACTAAAGATAGGTCTCAATACTTGGGATTTACTTCGTTAGGTTGCGGTCCTAAAAGAAGTGCAGTGTCTGAGAGGGGATTCTTCGGAATTTGAACTCGGTTTGTTGCTCTGATTGTAGAACCCCATAACCAGGATTTCCCTATCATCAAAAATGAGGGGGAAAAAAGAAGCTTAATCTGTACATGAATAAAATTGACTTAAGTCAATGGATGGCTTGATTTCACATGTTTCTAACTACGTAAATGATTTTGTTGTCTCAGCATCGGAACAAAAATAGTTTATTTTTGCAAGCAAATCAACAAAATATGACAACTTTTTGGTTGTCATTCTAATATTATCTTTTGTTTTCGATGCGAGCGTAGTGGCATCAGAAAAGCAAGCTTTTACAACGAGTCACAAAAATAAGAACCTACATAGATAACACATCCAACTCTGATCTGGAGTTTCTAAATGAATTGAGAGAAGATGAAACCAACACATCACTGATGCACCCAAAAATGCTAGCCAGCTCAATCAATGTTTGTAGGCTAACATATAATATTCATCTTTTTAAGTCATATCAAACTCGATCGTCAAAATAAACCAGGTCTTCAATTTCAAGCATTCCGAAAATTGGTCAAGAAGAACAAAGGAAAAGTCAAATTTTCCATAAGATTTTGTATAAAGTTCCTCATGCATCTCCCAGTGGATGCTCCATCCTAATCACGGCTCCATGGGCGACACTCCGTTTAGACTTTGAGATCCTCGTTTCTTGCCTATCAATAAAAACAACAAGTGTTAACATTGCAATCCGCACAAATATGTTTTAGAAAATTTGTGCGTCGAGTTGCAACGACGAAAACTTGTCTATCCCCTATGAGGATCTTCATCGAGGATTGTCGTCCAGCGTTCTTGAGTGCACTCCGCCTGATTCAAACCCTCGATCCTTTCCTTGAGTTTGTATCTAATACCAGCGGTCTCCTCCGTCTTCGTGTTGATGAGTTCTTGTATGTATGCAATGATAGTGGAGGCTACATTACGTTCCCGTGAGAGTGCAACTATGAGTTAGGCCAGGTAATAGGAATGTGGGAAAACCGTTTGTCTTGCACCACAGTGGAATCAGGGACTATGTCCATATGGGTATCGTTCTTGTGCTGACAGTCCGAGTAAGACGACATGTCTTTTGCTGATTTTCGAAGATTGCCGAAATTCCAAGTTCGTCGGGAGTTTTTCCAAAATCCGATCTCTAGTCTATCTCCTTGATCATGATCATAAACATAAGCAATCACCCCTCCGCTTATAAGCTAAGAGAGAGAATTAGTAACCATTAAATGTGGGCTAGTGACCATTAACTTAGGAGATAATTGGGCGAACCATTTCCTTAAAATTAACACATGGAGCAGCTTTGAACTAGGTCCGGAAATAATAATTAGAAGGTGTGTAACATGGCCCAAGTGGATTACTTGGGCGAAGTTACTTTTTTAGTTTTGGGTGAACTTTGCCTGAATCTTCACTTTGAGTTGGTTTTGAAAGTCAGCTTCAATATGACTTTGGTGAGCTTCGATATGGCTTAGACGAGCTTCGCCATGTTTCGTATTTGGGTCATTCTGATTTATTTAAGTACTTAGCAAATGAATACTCAGATAGTAATAAAGCACCATCTGTTTTCCTCTTTCCTTCTATTATTTTCTTACTTGTCTCTCTTTTGTTCCTCAACTGTCTTGTATAATGAGGGACAGGAAATTGCTTATAAGGAGAAAGATTCATGATTAATGAAAAGAATGAGGCCTTTGTGACACTATTCCTCTTTGTATGTTGATCTTTGCATGATTTGCCTTTTTAAAGTTTTCTCACTCTTTAATTAGCGCAAAGCTCAGGCTTCATGTGTAAGCATGGTTCATCGAATGAGGTTTGCCAAGTGAAGTTCACCATAAATTGGGTGAAATTCGTTCAATTTTGGATCTTGGGCCAAGTTCACTGATTTATTGGTGAAGTTCGCTTAGTAGTTGGGCGAAGCTCATTGAGTTGGTTGGCGAAGTTCGCTCAAATAATTTTGAATTTTAAATTCCTGACTTTTGCGTCTTGATTTAAGGCAAGGATTGCTCTTGGGCGGAGTTCGGGGAAGTCTTTCGGTGAAGTTCAGGATAGAATCTTTAGGCAAAGTTCAAAGCGGAATTTTTGGGCGAAGTTCATTGAAAGCCTATAAATACTCGTTGAAGGAAAGGATGCAACAACATATGAAGGCCAAAATCAAGGTGGTGCCAATACATCGACACTAAGTCAACCCCATAGCGGTAGATGGCATGGTCAAGTGTTGGAACAAACAGCGTGAAAGAGCTGGAGATGTCGTACGCTTTCGCCCATTCTACGAGATGAACATGGAGCACTGACGATATTTACTGGCAGAGAAACAAATTTTGATCTTGTTGCCAGTAGAAGAAGGCTGCGAACTAGAAGCCATCAGAGCAAATGATCGGAGTGGATGATCAAAGCGGATGATAGGAGCTCAAAAGGCAAAAGCATAGAAATTTCTAGGGGTAAGAGTTCAAAAAATGCACCAAAGAAGAAGGAAGGTGGGGTATTTATAGGCGCTCCATAGATGACACGCGACCAAGTCCTAGCGGTGAACTCGAATTCCTAAAATCCGTTGGCGGTTCTCATCAACCAAAGCGTCGTTCTCGTCGACCGAAGCGTTCGTTACGAAAACCAAATGCATGTTCTGCGCTGACGTCAAATTGTCAAATGACAGCTATTTCCCAAGATCAATCTAAATCCCAAGAGGCGCCTGAAGGATAATACAATTTAGTTTCTCTCGAAGTCGGCTTCCTTGAGTCCGAGTGAAAAAGGGCCAATATCGTATCCTAAAAATCACCAAGTTTGATGAGCTCTTGAAAGTTGGGCACATGTCATATTAACAGGCCATTCAGGAAGTCCGACCCAGGTGTGAGCACCACTGATCTCTCTAACGGTCCAAGTCAAAGAAATCTGAGTTCAAAACGAAATATATCTTTTGATCGGACTCCACCAGAGAAGGTCACGAAGATGGAATGACCTATCAATCTCATCAATGTCGTTCGCGTTAAATACATGGTCAGTCGGCGTTCATGCTTCGTCGCCTAGTCGCCATTGCATTAAATGTGTGGCAGAGTCATAATGACTTCTCAGACTGAAGTCATAATGATTCCTTGGACGTGTTCTAGTTCGGTAAAGATTACTACATAGAAGACAGTTAAAAACGAGTCCGGAAAAGCAAGTGCATGAGGAATTGCTCGTGATTCTGTTGGCAACTGATTGATGGATTTCACGCTTCATCTAAGAGTTTGCACTATTGCAATTGTTGAGTTAGAGGGTGGTATGTTCGCGCTTAAGTTTGCGTGGGAGCATGGATGGAAGAAATTAATTATTGAGTCAGACACCTTGAGCACTATTGATCGAATCACTCAAGGAGATAACAAGCTTTACATTGTGTTTTGGGAGATGACCAAGGGAAGGGGGAAGGAAGGGGAAAAATTCTCCTTCCCTTCCTCTTCATTACACCCTAATTTGGGGTGTAAGATTTTAACTCAAATTTCCACTCATTCCCCTCCTCTACCCTCCTAAATGGAATTCTCAAACAAGTTTAAAATTAGATTTCTCTTCCTCTCCCCTTCCCTACCCTGCATCCAAACAGCTATTAATCTTCTTGGTGCCATTGTTGAGGACTGTCGATACTTGGTCGTGCCAAGTTCTAGGCTGCAATAAGAACTAGAGATAAATCGACTAATCTTTCATTAATTTTATAAGAACACTTTCACATATTAAATAATGGAGAAAGTATCAGCCTTAAATCCATAACATTAAAGGTACACTAAATGAATACTAACTTCCAATGATTGATATCCATGGGTGCACATTAAATATCATGGTCACCATCTCTACTAGATAATCATTTGGAAAATGAAGTCCATGATTTGACATTTTGGTAATGTTATACAAAAACTAGTAACACCACTGAACAAAACAATCAGTAACACCACTGAACAAAATTCCACAAAAGTTGGGAATCAGAAATATAAAAATGAGTAAACATTAAAAAGTTAGGAGTTCGAAATATTTTTAAAAAAATGGTAAAAAAATCCAGAACTAGCAACACCACTGAACAAAATCCTACAAGGAAGTGCATATTTAGAGGTTCTATACGAACAAACCTACACTAGTTCATCCACAAGCAGGCGACAACCAAGAACATCTTGCCATGCAACTCGGTACCCTGTCCGTGTAATTCCTGCAAAATAGGAGATAATGTGAATCTGATGCCAAAAAATAACTTCATAAAAAAAAAGAGAGCTTTTTCGGAAAGAACAAAAAAGCATCAGAAGAAATTCTAGAAAGTTATCGAGGGGCAATATGTACAGGCTCTTAAAATAGGCTGCTTAACCAATACATATCATATAATAATAGCATGTGTATTTGCTCGTCTTCGATCTTCAATCTTATTACTTATACAACAATTGAAGTAATAAAGAAATTTGCACCTTGATGGAGAAGAAAATATGAAAGCCCTTCTGGATCTTTTGTAAGAATACGAGGTTCTGCAGCATAAGACATGTTGATTCATAATTGTGGCCATGCATCGTCCATATAGGTTTAAAAATATCCCAAGATTATAGGTGCATACTACACATGAAAATTGTTTAGGTTGCCTATCAGAATGCCTTGAAATGAATAAAGGAACATTATAAATTAGAATAAAAACATTAAAAAAAAGTAAACACTGCTCCCAGTGTTAAAAAAAACAGTTAAAAAACATGTCAAGGGGTTATGAAAGAAACTGAAGCATATTTGAATTTTTGCACCCAAAAAGAATGAACCAGTTGGAACATCTAAGACTTCATTTTTTTCGGCGTATGTGAAGCATAATATCCAGAGAGAAGCGACCAAAAACACATATGATCCTAGTTACTTCCTAGATATGGAATGCAATGGATCATGGAAAAAGAAGACCCTTATATGCAGAACATAACACTAGAAAGAAGAAGAAAAGTAGGGAGGGAGACAAGAAAACTTCGACAATTGATTTCTAAAGGTAATATTTGAACTCGATGGATGTTTAGCAAGTTTTTACAATTACCTGTCAGCACCTCAATACTTAAATGCGAGTAAAATCAAGAAAGTGAAGGGAGAAAAGAAGGCAGTGGGGGCAGAAAGGTGTCTAGGAAAATAGGACAGTGGGTGCAGAAAAAGTGTTTAGGAAGAGAAAGATGAAGAAGATAAAAATAAAGATGGGCACTTCAATATAAGAGTAGCAACGGATTGAGTATATTAAGAACTTTTGGATAAAATCCATAACTTATCGACTTGATATGGCGTCCACGAAACACGCAAATCATCTGACTATGTGTTTATGCTTGCTTTCCATGGCTGAGAACTTGACATTGAACGATATAATGTCATTTTCATTTATGATCTTCTAGTAATGGACCTATATTCTACACTACCTGGACACTTCATTTAAGCTCATGTATCTGTGTCTGACACTTCCTGTATCTGTGTTCGTGCTAAACACTCCTTGGACAAATTTTGAATATATTATATACATTTATTCAGACGCGTAGTCAATTATATAATACACGTTTTAGTTTAAAACACTAGTGATACACTTCTTGAACGTTTATCTTACACTTCACCTCAAATTCTACACCTAGTTGGACACGAGTTGGGTTTGTTTTTAGCCCATACCCAGTTTATAAGTATGATGTTAAAGGGTCGTTTGGATATCCAGTTCAAAAACAAGTTTTTTTCCAATTTATAATCTATTCCATAAAAGAAGCATAAGAATATTAGTTTTACTTCTCAAAACATGTGAATGAAAAAAAATATTGATCTCATATTCAATAGGTATATAACAACTGTGTCCTCATATACTATCCTTTACGACATGGCCGTGTCTTGTATCCGCACCCGTGTCCACACCCGCACAGTACAACACAGCTTGTATTTTTGTTGCTAAGACTTAATATGTATTCTTATACTTGCAATTACAGTCTCATTTTAAACTTACGATCTTTTTACTAATTCTCCTTGGTTATGCACTTCTACATGGATTAACTTTGATCATATTTTTGTGATACACGAAGTTTTATTCTTAATTACTTGACAATTTCGCATAAACTAATGTGTCTCATGAGATATGATAATATATGCACATGATACGAAAAGAGTATACACAATAAGTATACCAATAAAACAACTACGATTCAAGCTAATATCAATCAACAAATGAGATTTCACTTAAGGACAGAACCTCTTACATGTTTCTCAACATTGTTTAAGCCTTTAAGACCTTGATACATATGCAGTTTATCATTATAAATTGTAGGAAGGACTTGAAGTGAAAGGCAGAAATTTAATCCATACATACGGCCCCAGAAAAATAGTGATTGACAATAGGTCCTCCATGAATGGACCTAATGCATCTCTCCATCAAACCCCTAACTTAAAAGGTGCGGGTGGAAACAAACTATAAGGATAAAGTGACTAGCCTTTAGCCTACTTATGCACATCAGAGAGAAATTAACATATCAGTGGTGTCCTTCTGATCACAAGAATTAATAAACATGCTGGTACATGTAATTTGCATGTGCATCAGTGATTTGTCCATTCATAGACATTAAAGACACATTACAAAGCTAACAGAAGATAAACAAGCAATTTCCACAAGGCCTGTAATGTAAAAGGAGATGCAAGTGAGAGAGTGAGTGAAATTTCACTAATATCTTACACATGTATTTATTGAACCAGCAGCAATACTGCACCATGACTCAAAACTATGATTCACAAAGTCAAATCATCCGCATTTTCCAATAAAAGCTAATTATGTTCTGTGCACAATCATCATTGAAAATTACAAAAATCAAACATGAGAAACAGTGGATGTATCAATCACATTGAGCAAGCACGGTCATAGTAACCCAAATGAGAAGTTGGGCAGATAAATATAAATATGCAAACCCCATAATTCGATATATACGAGGTCCAAGATAATCCACAATACCCAAGTCTAAAAGAAATTCTTGCAAAAATAGTACCTAAGAAAATATCATAAAGGTTCATGAAATTACCATCAGACTCCCCAGATACAATCCGCCATGTTCTCTACATCCTCCAGTACCCGCTGAAGGGCTTGCTTCATTAAGTCTATCCTGCGAATTCTGTTCTTGATCTCCAGCACTTTTTGCTTCTTAAACTCCCTCTCCAGAGGCCTCACCTTTTCTGGGTCAAGCGTCTCCAAGAGCTCCGCTGAGATGCAACACCTCACATCCAACATGGCATCCTTAATGAACGGATACTCCCTCTTCAAACTCCCTCCTGCATCATTAGCCACATTGTTATTCCCCATCCCCCAAACTTCCATCGAGAGCTCATACACTTTCTTATCGTGTGGTTTCCCAAACTTGACTGCTTTCCCGTTATTCGCACGGGCAGCAATGGACTCGTACTTCTTCTTGAGCCTCTTAATCTTCTCCAGGAGCTGGGAACCGCTAACCTCGAGGCTCAACGAACCTTTCACAAATTCATGGAAGTCTCGAATCCCCGCAGCGTTGAGCTTGATGGGACCGCGTTCGGGCTCGAATTCCATCATTCCTTCGAGGATTGCGATCTCATCCTCGAGGCTCCAGATTCGCTGGAACAAGGCCTTGCCGTTGGCGTTGCCCTTTCCGTTTGACTTATCGCCAGCGTCGAAGGGTTTGAGGGGCAAAGACGCCGCTGTGGAGATGGACTGGGGCCTCCTATCCGACGGGGGATCCTCATCCTCTTCGTCATCGTCTTCGTCGTCGCTGGAGCCGGATTCGCTCTCTTCGTCGGTTTCTTCTTCTTGTTCTTGGTTCCTGGTTGGAGTTTGGCTGTTGGGGCTCTTGGTAATGGTTTCTTCATCTTCGCCGGAAGAGGATTCCTCTTCTTCCTCAGATGAGGAAGGGGGCGGCGATGGAGGAGGCGGTGGTTGTTTTATCGCCATTAGGGTTAGGGTTTTGGGAGGTTTCGAGGCGAAGTGAGGAGAGCGCTATATATGGAGGGCTCTAGGGCTCTCTGCGGGATTTTGTTTGTTTTTTTAAACCGCATTTATGATTTGGGCCCCGCTAGTCCGGGCCGGCCTTAAGATCCCTGTACATGAGATACGGTTTAGATGGGCTGAGTTGCACTTCAAAGTCATAGAGTTTCATCTCGCACTTTAATATCCTTATTTTAAAACCATGTATTTAAGGCTTGGTTTTGTTACATGGATGTTAAATAGGTGAACTTGGGTATTAAATGGGCGGGTCATAAATGGACGGGCATATTTTACCCTTTTACCCTTTTATGGTCCATTTAACATTTTTTAAATGGGCGGGTTTTTGTCCGGCCATTTAATAAACGGGTCACTCATTTATCCATTTAACTATAGTAGTTATGTATATAATACTTTTTGGGTGTTTTTTGTAAATTTTTAGAGGGCTTGTTGCGAACAATTGGGGGTTATTAACTTTTGGGGGTTTTTTGCAAACTTTTTGGGGAATTTTCGCAAACTTTTAGCAAATCTTCAATAAACAATAAACAAAAAAATTGTACATGTTTCCTATAGTTGGATCACATAAATGAACATGAAGAGAATCAAATCAGTCAAGATTAGAGTACAATTAAAAGAAGAGAAGCAGTCTTTTAGCAAATCTTCACAAAAACATGTGACATTGGCCTAGCATGCTCATGAAGAGCTAAGATTGTACATAAGTATCGATTTAGAGTAAGACATGTTGAAAGTTCCCAAGAGAATAATAAGTGGGGAACAAGGCAATCTCAGTTAGCTACAACATATTCATAGAGTTGGAACTGTCTGTATTTGACCAAATCTCTCCTGCAAACAAGGGATCAATAAGCACAAGAGAAAAAGATTTGTGAAGTTTACAGCCCCTATTGATCAATTTGATTTTGACTAGACCTCCTGCTCAGAAAGTGCTACACAAAAAATGAAATTAACCTCAGATTTGCAAACCAAAAACCAAAAGGAAAAAAATAAAATTAACCTCAGATTTCCTAATCAAATCCAAGATTGAAAATCTTACCTTAATCACTTTCGCTTTCCGATTCAGAAACCTCTAGAGTATTGAAATCAAGTACTAATAAATTTCCTTCTTCAATGTCTGTCAGAGCTGCATTTAATAAGAAAAAATAATATTAATATTTTGTGATAAAATATGTAGTCCACAACAATACAAAAAAGCAATAAAGAAAAAAAAGAAGGCAACTCACAAGGAATCCCGTCTAACCAAGAACCAGTGCAAATTTGAGCTTCAACATTCTCCGAAAGAAGATGATTTCGATACTTGTCAAGCACACGACCCGCAATGCTGAAAGCCGATTCAGAGGCTACCGAAGTAATAGGAATACTCAATATATCTCGAGCCATCATCGACAACTGAGAACGCTTCTCGCATTCGCCTTTACAATACTCGAGAACATTCAAATGATTATTTTTTCTTCCAACTGACTAAGTTTTCATTTAGATACTCTTCTAACTGAGACTTGGACCCACTGACTGAATATAGTTGACTCTCAAACTGTTCAAACTCAACCATCTCATCATTAGGAACATCTCCAAAGTTCTCTTCACCACTGCTCCCAGCTACAAATGTACCTAGAGATGCTCGCTCATATTCTTTGTAAAGACTTCTCAGTTTCTCTAAGGTAGTCAACATATAATCAGAACTAACTTCCAATTTCTCAAAACAAAACTCTACATACTTTACCTTGTATCGGGGGTCCCAATATTTATCAACTTTTATTTTCATATCATTTGCCATGGATTTTATATCTTGATCATCACTTTTCATCTCCTCCATTATGCATTTTTGAATCTTAAACACTCCACCAAAATATAAGTTGGTAATTGGATATTTACTTCCAGAAAAAAGAGTGGACACTTCATAAAAATGTTTTAAAAACCTTGTAATTTTTTCAACATTTACCCATTCTTCACTTGATGACAAAAAAGTAAAATTTAGATCAATCAACTCCAAGTGCTCAAATGCCCGACGAAAGTTCAAAACACTCTCCAACATTAGAAACGTAGAATTCCACCTGTTGGACACATCCTGCTAATTTTTTTTTCGCTTTACCTGAATAAGTTTGTACAATGCACTGTACAAACTTCTTTTTTCTTCCAAAAGGACTCTTCACATACTTGATGCATTCTCTTATCTTAGATAATGGTTTATCGACAACCTTTAGCCCATCTTACACAACAATATTTAGAATATGAGCACAACAATGCACATGCAAAAAATCACCATTACTAACAAAATGATCTTCTAAAACTGGATGGTCTTTTAAAATTCTTATAAAAGCATCATTATATGATGCATTGTCCAAATTAATAGTAAAAATTCTTTTTTCAATACCCCAGTCCTTTAACAAATGGAAAAGTTTCTTTACTATAATTGCTCCACTATATGGGGGTGGAACATGAGATAGAGCTAATATCTTATTATACATGTCACGCCCCGCTTCCCAAAATACCAGGGAACCGGGACGCGAGCAAGCCCACGACGTATTAAACTGAGAAGAGATAAGTACTAGACCCCGTCTTCTCAATCTAATACGCTAAGCGTCAAGAAATACAAACAAAGGCACAGGTCCCCGATCACAGTAATAAGAATATAATAAACAACTCAGAACCAAAAGATACATATCACAACTGAAATGATCATCCAAACATAATATGAATATAATAAACAACTCAGAACCAAAAGATACATATCACAACTGAAATGATCATCCAAACATAATATTCGGGCCAAACATGCCCTTATACAAACTATCTGAATAAAATACTGGAGAATATAAAATACAATGATCAGGCGGAAAAGGAAATGCTACGAAAATAAACTGAAAGGAATAACTGAGCTTCAACTCTTCTTCTGCTTCGTCTGCTAGGCACTCCTGCTGAGAATCCTCTGGCTCCTGATGATTTCCCAGCTGAACCTGTTCTTCTCCTAAGTCTGACGTACACCAGAGAAAACAGGTGTACGTCAGGTGCATGGCGCACGGCAAGATCCCGAAAGGAAGAATAGAACGGTCGTGCGACCAATGCAAATAATGGTAATAACAATGGAAACATACAACTGAAATACTAATATTCTAAATATAATTTACTACTAGAATAGAATAATCATAATAAATCCCAGGAAATCAACCAAGTAACAAGTCGATCATGCAGATAGCGATCAGAATAATCATCCAAGTACAGGGTCATACACTAGCTGGAATTAATACTTAAAGATCTACAATTGGAGACGTAGTACGTCGAGCGAAATAATCCAAACAAGGAAACCCTCATGTATATACCATATGTCTCAAATTGTAGATAATTAAATATTAACCCCGATCTAGGTATGAAAGGAAACATATCTGGTCTGTATCTCATAATAACTCGTACACATGCAAGTAACGATATCAAGTAACTGGTCCGTATCTCATAAGAACTCGTACTCATCCAAGTAACAAGTCATGTAGCTAGTTATCCTATAACAGGTCACTGGTACACGTCTCACACAGAATCAAAATTCATATTCTCGGATATCTGATTGTTCACAAATCCCCTACGTGCTTCCAATAGGACTCCACGCAAA